CCCAGATATATCGAGAAATAATCCATCCTGTGACACGATGTTTCATGTGGACCGGCAGCCTTAGCAGCTTTACATCCACTTTCATCCTCCACGAAAATATAAGAACTTTATCTTTGGAAGAGCTGGCTACCATGTCTAAAAATAACTTGAGAGATTTTACCTTGGGTATAAGGTGCGGTGGCCTCATGGTTAGTGCGTTCGCCTCCTGATCGAGCGGTACGGGTTCGAGCCCTGGCCGGGGACATTGTGTTGTGTACTTGGACAAGACACTTCACTCTCACAGTGCCTCTCCACCCAGGTGTATAAATGGGTACCGACAAGCTTAATGTAGTGGACTGGCACCCATCGAGGGGAAGCAGAAATACTCCTAGTCGCTTCTTGATACAGAAATCGGGATAAGCTCCGGCCTGATGGGACACTTGGCTCGTATGCAAACTTGACCTTTGATAAGACTTATATGGGGGATTAACTCCTTGACCCTCCATCAAAATGACTTTTATTTTCCCTCTGAAATGCTGGATGTGTTTGCTTTTATTTCTTTATTATTCCTAGACGGCTGTTCTCCATCATGTCGTACTTTTTCTTCTTCTACAACATTCTCCTTGGATTGTTTTCCTGCACCATGCGCATTCTCAAAGGAATGCTTCTTGGAGTTATCTTTATCTCTCGTATTGACCGCACGTCCTTGATGCAGGGATTCCAGACGTGGGACAAAGGTTTGTTAAAGATATACGTGGTTTATTAACTTATTATTGCAAACAGCTCTATGCACATACAGTTCAACCCCTATTAAACGGCCACCCTCGGGGAAATGGTTAGTGACCGCCTAATAGGGGTGGCCGCTTAATAGGGGTTCTACTGTATTGCAACACACCGATGAAGGCAAATGTTTCTGTCGAAACATGTCTGTGACTTTTAAAGTTGTCGCCATTTATTTGAAATTAAACAACTAGTATTTAAGTTATCACCAATTACTGAAAAGAAGACGGAGAAAATTCTCGTGTAATTGGTCTAAAACAAGTCATGACTTACCCAGGAAATTACAGCCAGACCTGGAGTACATCTGAGAATAAGCCCAGCCAGCTTTTACATTTATGGTTTCCATTCACTTGTCAGTCGTTTACGGTCAGTTTTCGCCAAACAAAAGATGTTAAATTGAATAGAAGTTCTTGGTCATTATCACCGAAACAGAGCCAAATGACGTAGAAGCAATTGAAGCATGATTCTCCTTGAAAACATATGCCTGGATTGTCTTGTCCTCGAGGCTTATATTTTTCCTCAAGCTTTGCTCGTCCTCTTGTTCAAGTTTCGCTCGAGAGGGGAAAACTGTCCCCTTCTAGCATTTGCGTGGTTATAGAACCATAACTGCTACAATGAAGCTGGCACGCAACAAGTAAAATTACTCTACGACTTACTCAAGTTATTTTTGATACTGAAGACGATAATAATTGAAGCTACACTGTATCTAGTAGTCAAAGCTCTTAGAAACGCCTTGCGACGCCAATTCTTGGAACAACGCCTTCTACCACATTTTAACCCTAGGAGTATATAGGCATAATATAGTGTTTCGTATTTTTATCATGTATGTATCCATTTTAATGTTATCGCCATATGTTAGTAAATAGTATTTTAGATTAAGGGCCACAAGTTTATTAATATTGTACACTATTAGGTGCTACCCTCGGTAAATAAAGTGTTTACCTAGTCACTTGCTTGTCACCCTATCGCCTATATTTTGTTTTATTTCTTGCATTTTCCACTCAGCTTTCGTTGCCTACCTCGGCTTTGTCACTGTGCTTGTGGCCCATAGACACCCAATTATGCTAGTGTTCTGCCAGTTACTTCTTGACAGAAATAAGGATTACCAGCCTCTGCAGGAACGTAAGTTATGTCAATTTTCATGTGTATTAAAGTTTAAATGAATTTTTTATCGCGACTTGTTTTTTCTTAAGCAGTGCTACACCGGCAACTCTTCTGGTCGCTCAAAATAGTTGTGTCTACCCGGCTTGAGACAGCAAGCCGGTTTGTAGTTTTGATTTATTCGGAAAGATAACTGAAGCGCTCTTGTTATGTATCCTGCTTTGGCATTGAAAGTAGTGTCTCAGCTGACTATATAAACTTCTCTTTTGTGATTTCCGAATTGTATTCGCCAGCCACCAAATATTCAAACAAATTGGATAACTATTATTTTGGTAAAGAAGATCAGAATAACCGACAAGAATAGAAGTGGACTTCAGTTTATCAGGTTTTATTTTGTTGACATTCTCATGAAATTTGGAATCTTCTTAGGGTAGTTTTGTTTTTAGATGTTGTTGTTTATTCCTGTTAATTTTTATTTTTTCAGCCGTTTTTCGGCCTTTTTTTCTGTTAAAGAGAATAAAGCAAAATAATTTCACGCTCTCGGTAATTCTTAGCGAACGCTATCATGGCGGAATACCGTGCTTTTAAAATTCCAAACAAAACAATATATTTACATTTAATTTATTCCCACGGTCTGTATTAATTCGTAATTTTCATTTTTTGCCATTACTTGTATCTTTCAATTGTAGGACCTCCTACCCGACCTAAACCAGCTGTTTATTTGAGAGACCCTTCTGCAGGTGTGTAATATGTGTGATGTGGCAACACGGAGTGACAGTCTAACTTTTAACATTCAAATTCTCCTCACTGGCTTCAATAAATTTCTTTTAGAACGGGTTGAGAGATTCTGTTAAAAGTCGCATTTTCTCAATTAGGTGCCCACTCACCATTAGGCGTCCCTCCTAGAATAAGCGTCCTCCTGAAAACAATAAAAATTGAAAAAAGGAATCCATTGGTGTCATTAACAATGAGTTGCAAGGAAAGATTGAAGAAGGAAAATGCAAAATGATTCCAGACTTCTCACCAGAAATAAAATTATGTGAGAGCGAGGCTGCTTTGATTAAGAAGATTCACAGAAGAAAAAAACTGAATTTGAAATACTGTGTAAGTGTCTCTGGCAATTAATGGCAAAATGCACGGAGCCCCTTCGGTGCAATACTGGTGTAGTGACTTCCACACATGCTTGCCATGTCGTATTTGTATTTTTACTGATGTCGTAATTAGCTGAGAGCAGGCAATTTATAGCTAATTTATAATTGTCGACGTTCGTGATTTTCTCAGTGATACTATAACTGAGTAATAGTGTCAAGGTCAAGGTCAAGGTCAACTTTATTTAGGCAGGGTGGCCCACTCGTAAGATTTGAAAAATCTTTCCAATTACACTCGCTTAAAGGCTCGTGCAATGTGAGAGAATTTTCGAATATCACTCGTAGTGTAAATCTCTAATTGCACGCGCATCCTTACGATTACCTATCAACACTTATTCCCTCATTATTTCTTTCATTCGTTAACTCGCTTATTGGTAAATTCAAACATTCGTCATTCGTTTGTAGGTTTGTTTATTTATGCAGTCGGCCCGTTATCACCGTCCGTTTTATGAACAAACAAACCAACAAACAATGTCGATTTTTAATTTCGGAGCTGATTTCAAGAGTACAGTGGAACCCCGTTAACACGACCACTTTCGGGTCATGGAAAATTGGTCGCATTAACGTGGTGGTCGTATTCAAGGGGTTCTTTAAATAAGAAAATGACTGACTGAGCTTTTTTTTTTCGGGCCAGAATAAAGTGGTCGTAATAACGAGGTGGTCGTATTAACGGGATGGTCGTAAGGTGGGGTTCCACTGTAGCTAAGTCCATGGGAATTTCACATCTCACTTCCGTTTTCCTTTACTCGCAGAACGTTTGGGCATCCTTAGTATTAACAAGCCTGTCACCAACTATTCTGGTAGGTGACACTATCTTCTGAATGTTTTTTCTTCTCTCGCCGAAAATAAATAAACCTCACCACTTGTCGAGGCATTTTATACACTCAGTGAGGTTTTGAGAAGGTGCCCTAAAATTACGGCCAAATTAGCCAGAGTGGGCCACGACGGCGGGAATAGCATAATAACTCGGGCATTTGATCCATGACGTTAATCTCTCGTACCAGTCCTAATTGTGGTTTCTTTTTCCCGTTAAGGTTATCGCCGGGAGCCCCGTCTGCCGCGCATGTCTCAGAAGGCATTTAACCGCTGGTTCTTGGCTGTGACGCTGCTGCGTAACCCATCCCTCGTCAACTATCGGTGCCAGGGCCACGCGGTAAGACCCGCTTTGAGGCTTGGAAGTATCAACATTGGCGATCAGGTTTAGAGAATCCGAAGCTAGTTGCCAGATTGGTTGGGAACCCAACGTTTTATCCCCGGGCATTATTAGGGAACTTTAGAGTTGAGTACGAGTAAGAGTTTTCAATAGGCTGTGTTCGTATTCTCTAGCTTGCAGTGGAGGCTCATGTCGGGGAATAATTATCATGAAAAATAGATTAATGTCATTTGCTCTGAAAACACTCCCCGCGTTAGCCTTAAGAGACCTTTTTCGACTGGGTGGTTTGTTGCTCCATTTCAGACGATGTGATGATACTCTTGCGAATTCTTGCTTTCAAATTTTCAAATAGTTGTGTGTATATGAAAGAACAAGTTTTAGATGGACAAAAGAACAATTCTCTAGAGAATGTCACGTGGTCTGTAATGGGAAAACAAACCGCCCAAACTAAAGAGGTCTATTGCAAGTTAATTCCAGTCCAATGCCGGCCGAGAGTACGAATATGGTCTAGTCTGGGTTTCAGGCCTTACATTATCACGTAACATATCCCATGAGGGGCTACCCTCTCTACCTAAACCAACATCAAGGCCTCTGGAAACGTCACTGGTTTGAAATTCGAAAATCGTGGTCATACTCAATCTCTTTCTCGTAGTCAAATCTGAAGATCCTTGTACCTGGGACTTGGGGATACGTTTGTGGTTCGCTTTCAGTGAGAAATATAGCCCGTCGTCATCATTATTGTACTAAGCAGATAACTCTATCATGAAGAGTAAGTGTGTTTGCTGTTTCAGCCTAAGCGAACTGTTAGATACATGAAGGGCTTACGTTGTCCCTGAACGAGTCTTTGAAGCTCGATGGAGATAATCCGCCATTTTTATTTAGAAATGCTCACCCAGATGCCCAGGAGCAGATCACGTGCTCAAATCCGTATCGGGTAGTTCGTCTATAGCATGACAGATATTAAGTAAAACGAATTTTTAAACAGTGTATGATTCTGTTAATTAATGCAGAACATAAGTGATCTTAATACCTTATAACAGATAATCTGAGAGATCATTACCGTCAGGTGCCATTTCGTTGGCAAGTGAATAATATCTTGCAGCTAAAATAAGGCTGTATACTGAGTGATCCGTGTTTGTTTGTTTATTTGTTTGTTTGTTTGTTTAAATATTGTTATTGTTAGAGTGTTTGTTTGTTTGTTTGTTTGTACATGTCCATCTACCCTGCTGTTTTGTGATAAGTTGAAATAAAATAATATATTACAAAAAAGCTAAAAGCTGAAGTTTACATGGTTTAAGAAAAAATATAAGTTTTTTAAGTGAATTAAGAGAATGAAGTTAAAGTTCAGATTAACTATCAGCCGTCTGGAACTGAGTAAACGATATTCTATCCAAGGTTAGTATAAAAGGTACGAGACAGAACTGCAGAAGAGAAAAAAAATAAGAGAAACTTGTGGTAGTTTTCAGAATAACTATGATCTAATTAAATTGTAACAAGTTTGCTCACAGCTGAAAATGATTTTACTCGATAGGAAGCAAAGATGTATAGCTATAAACATGATATGTTCATTTCAAGTTAACGCTATCGTTAGAAATATCTACAATATATTTCAGTGCTATATTTTCTTAGATGGCATCAGTAACTGGTGAAGACCTGCAAGTTATCTGTTTAGAAATTATCGAATTCAGCGTTCGACTGAGACGCTAGTTCTATGAAAGAAGTATTCTAAATTCTAAGTTACTTGGAGTAGTTTAAGTTATTGTAGGTTATTTTGCCTATAATTGAGTTGTAAGTTATTTCTCAAAGTATATGTTGTTGAAGTTTTTGTTCTAGCGTCAGCTGTTAGGAAAAAACAAAGAAAAGAAAAATAGATAACTTTACTCGTCAACGCTATTCCTACACGAAAGGAACTAAATGTAACTTAAAATATAAGTGTGGAATGGCTGTAACTTATTTACATTGCAGTTCTATTGTAAAATGCTACGATTAAATCTTGCATTTAAAAACAAACTTTGGCTGTAAATGTCTTTTAGCTACTGTACTTTTCTTTTACCGCTACTTCGCCCTCAAGCCGTAACTCCTTGAAAGTGGCCTGTCCATATCTGGCTACCCCTTTCTCTTTTATTTAAGACATCTCGGTGCCTCTTAATTAAGAATCTTAGCTAAGCGAGCGGACCTTAACAGGAGAATGTCGCTTGCGCAAGAAGGGTCGCGAAGAAAAGACCTGATATTCTCCAAGAACAATACCGAGCAAGCTTAGTTATTAAGAGATTTATTATATTTGGTATTTGAGACTTTGTCTGTCCTACCCTGTAAAATGGCGTATATAAATAACGCAATAGAACATTGAAAAAGTTCGTAAAACTCACTCATGGACTTGCCCTTTTCTGCCATTGCCTTCAGTTCCCCTAGAAAAATTTCTGCCTTGTAGACCTGAAGTTCTCTTTCCTTGTTTTTCCTTTTTCTAACATCTCATTAATTATATTGTTTGCTATCGACTTCTACCACGTGATAGCTGACGAGTAGGCAGCCCGAGCCAACTATAACCCTTAGAACTCGAGAGCGAATCCATTTTTGTTAAATAAATCTACTAGTCGTTCAAATCTAAACGCTCTTCGCGGACACTTTCAAAACACAAAGAACAGGCTGCCATTTTGGTAACCGCACTCTGCTGGGCCACTCGCTATCCACTATAGCATAGAGATTGAGTAGCGCAACCAATCAGAGAGCGGCATTCGTGACAGAACCAGGGTACCTTGAAACTAGAGATTTCTATGAGGTAATAGTTGATTTGGCTTTCGGCCTCATCAACTATCACCTTAGAGAATTCGAGAGCGAATAATCTAATTGTTAAATATATCACACATTTACTTTATAACATGGTAAATTTATTTGTCAGCGAATTCTGGAAAATGACGCTACTCCAGGCCGGTTTTCAAATTGGCCAGGAAAAGGTCTCTTTGTCTTCTATTAATTCTCTGAATTAATTGCAAGTTCTTACGGAATATTATCGCCAGTTATCGACCATTGTGGCCATTTTTCGGTGAAAGACAACAAAGTCGCCAAAAAATCACCAGCGAAACTAACGCCTGGGGAATGAATAACGTCACTCTGTGTAACCGCACCTGAAGTAACACTTCCTGTTATGCAAATAAGTAGAATTTAAAACACGCACCTTCGCGGGAAAACTGGCAAATTAGCATTGTTTAAAATTCAAACTGATTACAAGATTTTACTGATTCTGCCATGCGCACATCAGCACACTTGAGTTTTCAAATTTAATTTCATAACGGACTCGAACTGCTCTGCAACAAATTAAATGAACAACTTTTACACAAAGTTTGGACAATTTCGGCTCACGTTAAGTTTACTGTTAACCGCCATGATGAGGTTTTAAACTGACGGAAGAATATGCTCCATAGAGACTGTTACCACAAGATTTGCTTGGACACTGAGCAAGATCCTCTGCTTCTCTGAACAAGTTCGACACGAGAGTTGATCGAACCTCGCTTGGTAATCATGGCAGCGTTTATTCAAACAGTGCGATCTCAAAGTTATTTACACGCTGGATCTGCCATTCTCAGAATTTCCAGGATTTCATAACTGTACTTTATCAGTCTTCGCCATCAGCCAGCAAACTGTGATGAAATGATACATTTCCTTCGTCAATGTTACTATCTCCACAACTTTGGATACAGTTATCAATTTGCCGAGCGATAAACTCGGGAGACCTAGAGGAAGGACAGTCGGAGGAAACTGTTTATAAAGAGGTAACACGATTTTATCGACACTTAAGAACAACCATTATTATTCTGTTTACATTTTTACGAACTATGTTGTACTTTTAGGATCGCAAAAGTGCTCCGCAATAACTACAACTGACANTGGCAGCGTTTATTCAAACAGTGCGATCTCAAAGTTATTTACACGCTGGATCTGCCATTCTCAGAATTTCTAGGATTTCATAACTGTACTTTATCAGTCTTCGCCATCAGCCAACAAACTGTGATGAAATGATACATTTCCTTCGTCAATGTTACTATCTCCACAACTTTGGATACAGTTGTCAATTTGCCGAGCGATAGACTCGGGAGACCTAGAGGAAGGACAGTCGGAGGAAACTGTTTAAAAAGAGGTAACACGATTTTATCGACACTTAAGAACAACCATTATTATTCTGTTTACATTTTTACGAACTATGTTGTACTTTTAGGATCGCAAAAGTGCTCCGCAATAACTACAACTGACACAGCCGTACTTAAACGTTCCTCTGTAATAAAGGGAGGCGGCGTGGCCGAGTGGTTTAGGGCGCTGGAATTTGAAATCTGGAGGCCCGGTTCAAATCCTTCGCCCTACCGCTATCTGGATTTGTTCTCGGTAGCCCCGAGTTCAACTCCTCGACCGCGTGGTGTAAATAGTCAACTGGTCAGCCTCCCACCAGTTGGGATTCTTAATAGTTTATGTTATATTTGAAATATTTGTTTATTTATTTACAGTGTCGCCAATTAGCACATTAGTGTTAAATACATCGACACTTAAATAAAGTGATTATTATTATTATTATTATTATTATTATTGTTTTGATCCTTTCCTGAAACAATCCTGAACAACCGTACCACTATGACAAGACGTAGAATAAATATTTAGTCTCGATTTCTAATATACACAATCACTCAATGCCAGATAACGAGTTTTGCGCTCTTGAATTCTTTTTTCTAACGAGAAGAATGTTTTATCAGTAAACTAATCATTCCGAAAAACTACCAAACAACATCCAAACGTTTCCGCATGTTTTCATTAATAACTTTGATTGCTAACGATTTACATCTACATTATTTTCTGTACATCAGGAAAACTACGCCCTGGTTACAGTTTGGTACAACATATAACACCGCTAAAGTGGAAATAGACCAGACAGCAAAACAGACTGGTTTAAAAAATAAAACTGAGGAAGCTCAGTAGTCGTGACCGACATACAAACATTGATATTCCTGGAGAAAGGATGATTGGAAAGAATTAATTTATGGATCATTGAGGCTCCACAAAGCCATCAGCAACTAGAGAAGTGGATCTTTTTTTAACCGTGGCCGCGAACTTGGATCAATTCACAGCATCTGTTCAGGTAAAAATTAGTGGCTTTCTCCTGAGTTACGACGAGACTAACAATGATTGGTCAAATTATTAAATCGAACAAAAACATACTAAAGATATGATGCAAAAAACGTTCGACATGGTTTAAATTACGGTGCTCGTGAATTTTACAATGCCATCTAGTAACAAAGATGATATCTTTCCACATCGAGTAAAGGCTTACTGAATTATAACTTAACTTTAAATAAGTAACAAACGATCAAACAAACAAACAAACAAAAGAAGCAGCTATTTCATTGTAAAACTTAACCATTTGCTAAAATTAACAAATAAAAACAAAAAAAAACTCTCCTCGTACGAAAAAATGCTCGACCCATGTAGAACAAAACAATCAAATCTTGAAATTAAAATTGTTGTAAATGGGGTTCAAAGCCCATTCAAAGATGCAATTCCCAGCTGGGCCAGTGAAGAGTTTTATTCGCTAACATGAACGGGATTCAAACCCATTCGAAAATGTATTCGCCAGCTAAGTGGAAAGCGCTCCTCTTAAACTCAATGTGATTCAAACCCATTCAAAGATGAAACTTTCAGCTGGGTCAATAGAAAGTTTCATGCGCTCCACTTAACAAGAACGCGATTCAAGCCCATTCAAAAATGCATTCACCAGCTGAGTGGTGAGTTTTACACTCTCCACTTAAATTGAACGGGATTCGAACCCATTCCAAGATGCAATTTTCAGCTGGATCAGTGGAGAATTTTATGCGCTCCACTTAACATGAACAGGATTCAATCCCATTCCCAAACGCATTCACTAGCTGAGTGGTGAGTTTTCAAATTCTCCACTTAAATTGAACGGGATTCAAACCCATTCGAAGTTGTAAATTTCACCTGGGTCAGTGAGGAGTTTCAATCACTTCACTTAACATGAACGGGATTCAAACCCATTCGAAAATGCATTCGCCAGCTGAATGGTGAGTTTTACAATCTCCACTTAAATTAAAGAGGATTCAAACCCATTCGAAGTTGTAAGCTTCAGCTGCGTCAGTAAAGTTAATTAATTCGCTCCACTTAACATGAACGGGATTCAAACCCATTTGCAAATGCATTCGCCAGCTGAGTGGTGAGTTTCACACTCCACCTAAATTGAAGGGGATTCAAACCCATTCGAAGTTGTAATTTTCAGCTGGGTCAGTGGAGAGTTTCATTCGCTCCACTTAACATCAGTGGGATTCAAACCCGTTGGAAAATGCATTCGCCAGTTGAGTGNTGTATTCGCCAGCTAAGTGGAGACCGCTCCACTTAAACTGAATGTGATTCAAACCCATTCAAAGATGAAATTTTCAGCTGGGTCAATAGAAAATTTCATGCGCTCCACTTAACAAGAACGCGATTCAAGCCCATTCAAAACTGCATTCACCAGCTGAGTGGTGAGTTTTACACTCTCCACTTAAATTGAACGGGATTCGAACCCATTCGAAGATGCAATTTTCTGCTGGATCAGTGGACAATTTTATGCGCTCCACTTAACATGAACAGGATTCAATCCCATTCCCAAACGCATTCACCAGCTGAGTGGTGAGTTTTTAAATTCTCCACTTAAATTGAACGGGATTCAAACCCATTCGAAGTTGTAAATTTCACCTGGGTCAGTGAAGAGTTTCAATCACTTCACTTAACATGAACGGGATTCAAACCCATTCGAAAATGCATTCGCCAGCTGAGTAGTGAGTTTTACAGCCTCCACTTAAATTAAAGAGGATTCAAACCCATTCGAAGTTGTAAGCTTCAGCTGGGTCAGTAAAGTAATTAATTCGCTCCACTTAACATCAACGGGATTCAAACCCATTTGCAAATGCATTCGCCAGCTGAGTGGTGAGTTTCACACTCCACCTAAATTAAAGGGGATTCAAACCCATTCGAAGTTGTGATTTTCAGCTGGGTCAGTGGAGAGTTTCATTCGCTCCACTTAACATCAATGGGATTCAAACCCGTTGGAATATGCATTCGCCAGTTGAGTGGTGAGTTTTACACTCTCCAATTAAACTAAAAGGGATTCAAACCCATTCGAACTTGTAATTATCAGCTTGGTCAGTCGAGAGTTTCATGCGCTCCACTAAACATGAATGGGATTCAAACCCATTCGAAAATGCATTCGCCAGCTGAGCGCTGACTTTTCACACTCTACACTTAAATTGAACGGGATTCAAACCCATTCGAATATGTAATTTTCAGCTGGGTCAGTCGACAGTTTCATGCGCTCCACTTAACNTCTTAGAACTCCATCGTATCGTATATTAGCCGGTCTGTTTTGTTACTAGGACAAAAATATCCAGGACATTTCAGGGTAACGGTGAACTAAATAGCCCGGGTATCAGGCCTTCAAAGGTGTGCGGAGAGGGGACTGGGAGAAGAGCGGTGGTCTTATAAAACAGCAGTACCTCAGCACTGACAAGAGCGGTATTTTGTGCGCAAATTTTAGTAACGACTCTCACGAAACTTTGAAGAGCCCAGCAATCAGCCGCTATCCGCTTTGAAAAGTCGTTTATCTTTGGCATCACATTTGCAAGACCTGATGAGATTTTACTGGTTTACTTTTTCGAGACGCGTGTCATGCTGTGAGGGGGCCTTATGTGTGAAGCTTTTCTTTCTTCTTTCCTTCCTTTGTCTCCTCCCTCCCACTTACTTTTGAAAAGCCTGATATGATCTAAACTATGATCTAAACTGTCAAGGAACAACACACGGACGTCATGTGACGCGTTAATTAAAATTTAATGCTATCATTTTTCACTCGCTGTAACCACGACCTACGTTACATACAAATGTTTAAAATTGTCACTGAGTTCAGTACAAAAGTTGCCTTGTGAGTAGACCTGTGAGGCAAATTCAAAAAACTGTTAAGAAACGCTGCCGTGAAGGGTTGATTAAAATAAATGGAAGTTACAAGTTGTAAAAAAAGAATACTTCCTTCATGACATTTTCACGAATGAAACTGGAATTTCTTGTATTGTAAACGAAGCAAATAAATTATGCTCTTTCACGTGCCATTAAATTTTGGGTTTTTTGTTTGTTTGTTTGTTTGTTTATTTGTTTGTTTTTTCATGTACATGACTCCACACGCTTCTATCTGTAGCTTAAAACGCAAGCCAATAAAACAATAAAGATTCGTTAACTCCGTCTAATTTTCAAATCTTATCTGTCAATCAGGGCTGCACATGCGTATTACTGCAGCACAGTCCCTTTAACTATTGATGCAAGGATTACTTAGTATGAAAACAATTCCTTTATTAATTCAATAAAATAAAATACAAAAATATGCTTCATTCTCTCATTTGTAACTTATTTATCTCCAGTCCTATAACCAGAGCAAAGAGAGACCAGTTTCTACAGGCATATCAACCCAAATACATATATGAAGCCATTTCTTCAAGCAGTGACTTTATCAAGTGTTTCAGTCAAAGCCATCATCATTTGCTTCTTTATAGTGAATGAACTGTACATGCCTGTGATGATAGTCTTCTTTAAAGGAGCTGTTGTCAAAGATGGTGAATCTTGATTATTCATCCTAGATGTTTCACAGATCGTCTCAATTTTCCCCAATCTTAACCATCTTGCTTTGATTATAATTTGTTATTACTTATTACTTCTTTGCTATTTGTCTACCTTAGTAAATTGTTATATCACAGAGTTTTTCTGCATCCTTCATTTTTAACAGAATTTCCTGTTTACATACAGAATCAAACCATGATTGTTGGTTGCCTAGCCTCCTACACAGATGTTCTTCAGGGTGGTCATGCCATCTTTCCTCCATCAGAAACGTTTGTGGCAGAGGAAAGATTGTGTGACAAACATCTGCATGGGAGGTTTTCTAGCCTGAATATCAGTAGCAAGGCCTGATACTCTGGCAAGAGATTTTCTTGATTGGTTGCCCTGCTCTAGTTGCCTTTGCATTCTTCAATATTCTGCTTAACTGACAGTGTTCCTTAATTAAATAACCTTCTCATTTTTCATTGTCTTAACATCCTTGACACACTTCAAGAGGTCATCCACTGAGGGCCTGTCTGTTGAAACCTTGCTGCGATAAACTAGTGCTAATGTCCCATCTTTGTCAAAAATGAAGTCTCCACCCATCTGTGTCAGGTCATCTTCTTCAAACATCGCCACAAGTTTCCGGCCAGCACGCTTCTGCTCTGCGTAGTACACAAGGGAAGAGATACTCCACACTTTTGCTACAGATCGTCTTAAGCCAAGTGCATTGTACAGCTGGCGTCCAGGGTCAACAAACATCCTGAATTCACAGTTGGTGTCTTGAAGCCATTTTTGTGCTCCTTCCTAATATATCAGAAATAAACAAGAACGTTTTTTTCAGCTTAGTATGATAATACAAAGTGTTCATCATGGGCTCAATCAATTTTAAGAAAACAAGACTATGTCTATGTCTCTGTCTTGGGAAAGAAATTCAGAGAAAATTCTTGGAACATTTAGCAGGGTCTGTTGGATTACACTGGAATCATAGCTAGACCATATTCACATTCCTGGTATAGGACTGGAACTAGCTTGCAATGGAGGTTCATGCGGGGAATATCATTAAAAAGAGATTAATGTCATTTGCATTTGAAGACTTCCCGCATTAGCCTCAGTTGCAAGCTAGTTCCAGTCCAATACTGGGAATACACATATGGCCTATTTTGGCAGAGCATAGTACTATATCTGGAGTAGGAGACATAATGTTGGCTATAAACTCCCACTGTAGTCTCAAGTATTCATTCCAAGGATTTTCAACAAAATTCAAGGACTGTTGGTAAAAATTCTAGGACTAGGGAGTTATAAGACTTACAACTTAGTAAAATACACTTAAAATCTGCTCACCACATTTCCAAAGCTTACTACTATGACTTTTCCATTCAGAGCCTCAAATTCTGCCTTGCGTGACTGAACCTGGGCCACATGGTCACGTCATGGTAGTCAAGCAAAGTGACGCAAAAGTATCAGAATTGTGGATGATGAAGTTAACAAGTCTTGAATGGAGAATTCTCTAACAACAAGAAATGGACAAATTTATGGACAAGAAACAAAGAGTTGATAATTTTTTTTTTTTTTCCGTTTTCCATTTCTCTGAGTTAAGGTTATGTCTATATTTAAACCTAGTGGCCCATCAGGGAGACAAGGAATATATTCTATTTTCCCTGGGCAGGACTAGAAAAAAGTGCTGTCCAGTCATCTGGGACAAGTAAATTTTCCTGCTGGGTAAGTAGCTTTTCATTCTCACTTGACTGATGGGCAAGGGGTCAGGCAAGTCGTCTGCCAACTAAATAAAAAAAAGGGATACTAAGACTTGTCCAGGGCAAGAAAAATTCTTACCTCTAGAATTGCTTGTCCAAAGGGCAAGCTAGAATTCAAGTGTTTTTTTAAAGCCTGCTTGGATGGGATGCTAGACCATTGTGGGGTTATCTCCCAGCATTTATATACCTGGTAGGGCTTGAAACAGAACTCCTCCCTCTGGATTCCAGCACAGCAACCATAGGTGGCCGTGCTGCCCACAAGGCCTGAAGGGTAGTGGTAATTATTTACAGTAATCTCATGCAATGAAAAATTACTTAACTCTGATTGGTTTAGACAATGGCTATGCTTTATTAATCTGCATTCTTTAACAGCCAAAAATATTCTTCGACTCAGGATGCTATAAAAATTCCATACTTGACAAGTTCCAAAAATGGTAACTTACTATGAATAGTTTATTCCAATAATTATATATCAAAATTTGAAAAACATTTCTGTATCCTCCCTACCAACCTCTCTGAGCAAACATCAGTGACTTTGAGCTCACACGGGCCATGTGAGCCCACAACAAGATCTTCTACCTTGTCACTGCATGAAGGATTCATCTTGAATAAATGAATCTTGGCATCTGTTTCTTTTAGGAAAGAGTCCCATTCATCTTCAGCCTCACAGAGTTCCTCAGCTGCATCCTGGATTTCTTGAGAATGATACATCTTTGCAACTGCTTCATCCACACCTTTTCTTGACGTGACATTCAGTGCTTGAAATGTACTGAAGTAATGACCTATCATTGCTCCCATTTTCTGCACTTTGTCTGCAACAAAGTCTTCAATTGATTCTTCAGCATTTTTCTGGGCTTCTGCTAAGATTCTTGACAGCACAGTTTTTAGTTGCTTGAGCTGGTGTGACAAATTTTCCTGCACAGCCAAGTACTTTCAGTGAGTCAAATACTTTCAGTGAGCTCTAGTTACGACACTCTTGAGTCATGGTAGTAGTAAAATGTTTAAAATATGTGGGCTCTTGCACAAAGTTGAGTGCAGGCTACTTATGTCTAAAGCTACAGCATCCCGTGAATAACTTTTGAGTTCAGTAGCAGAGGAAGGGAAATAACCTTATTCCCTAAAGGTCCTGCAACCAGGGACAGGAAAAAGAAAGACCTTGGGTACAAGATCGCCCGAGACTAGCCAGGTTAAAAATTAATTCCAGTGCTTGGTGACTAGTCAGGCCAATTTTCTTGAATTCTTATTCCAAGGAGGAATTAATGATAGTATTTCCTCTAGTACAACACAAAGAAACACTAAAAAATATTTTTGAACAGATTTGCCAAAACTATCGTTCGTGTAATAGCATGTGCACCTATAAAACCCCTTTGGCAAGAAGCTTGGGGATTGCTAGCCCGTAACTCTTCTTTGAAAAAGTGAGAGCTGTTGTGGGCCTGACTAATCCACTCCAGACCTCTATTTGTTTACTCCAAGACCCCACCTCCTTACTTCACCCTTCCTCAACCCCACCCCTCCCCCAATGTATGCAGGTCTGCATCTGTCGCTAGAGTGTGTCCATGCCTAGGTGTCTAGCCCAATATTTGACTGGGGACTAACCGAGTTAAGCTTACATGTACATTCACATGTTTGGTACCAACGTACATGTACAATGTAGTATAAGAACACAGCCTAAAATACTTAAAACATTTTGACATACTTCACTAAGCCCCGAATAGGAAGGTGAAAGGATCTAATCAATTAATTGCTGCAAAGTACAACATAGATCAAACATTCATCAAGCACAAACCTGATCGCTTTCCTCGTGTCGTACCAATCTGGCTTGCTTTTCCTTGGGTTCGCTCGCCTCCGACATGTTTTAAATTCTTATTCAGCATAGGCTTACGTCCAAGAGAAAAGCTCTAAAAATCACTGGAACTATCCTTAATTCTTTCTTCCTATCATGAAGACATTAACAATTCAAGGATGTAAGGAAACGTTGCACCATAACATATCCCTTCGCGTGTAATGTAGGTCCGCCATCTTTGTTCAGTTTCTCAGAGAGGGATTAGGCTCGCGGATGGGAAGCGTTTCTGCGCCTTATTTCGGTCAGCGTTGTCATATAGAAAAGTAATGGCGGCTCTGCCAACGTGCTGAAGTTTTAATTTGCGATCACAAATTTATAACAATGAATCCTTGGATGCGGTGGCGGATTTTCGCGGATAAATACAACAACTATCTTCTTTATTCTGTGATGGGAGCGATGACTTGTGCTCAGGTATACTTACAGTACAAAAATTGGAAAGGAGAAAGAGTTACACGTGAGTACAGTATGGGGCCCAGTTCTCGGCCACAAAAAACGTAAACTTGTATTTCTTACCTTGGAATAGCCGTAAGGACTTAAAATTTCATGCACAACTAGTTTCAGCATTCAGTTTACACATGTAGAGCTATCGACTGCTCAACGCTGTTTTCTCCCGAGTAATAACGAAAATGGAGGCTTCGTTCGTGGGCCCAGTTATCAGCCAGCAGGTCCAGTTCTCGGCCACAAAAGAGTGCGGGCGATTCCTCAGAATAAACAACGCTTTATTACCATTTTTTGTTGTTAAATCACTTGTAAGGCTTGTGTTTTGATATTTCGATCACAAATTATCCTTAAAGAGCTCTGTTTCATGTTAGAAATGGAAGCTTTTTGCACACCTAGTTTTTCTCTTAAGTGCAGTCAAGCGAGGCTAAAAAAGAGTTGGGTATTTAAAACAGGGTTANATTTCCCCCTGTGAAAATTTTGAAATCCTAGACTTGCAGGGATGAATTTTCCTGCAATTTGAAGCACAAAATCAGTACCATTTAATTGCCTACAGAAGGTCATTGTATAGTGAGGCGGATAGGGGGGTCAGAACCTCTGCATCAAGTACCCTGCCCTCCCGCTTCCTGTACCTTTATCTGGTGACTCCACCCTTGTCCGTCCCTTGTTCACAGCCAGTTAATTTTTGCCTGGCACCCAGCCCTTGATGAAACCTCTGATGGTGTGTTATAATAGAATATTTTTCTTTTGCAGCAACTAAGGAAGAGTTATATAAGAAGGGACCAATAGTAATAAAACTAGAAGAGTACCTCAGAGCAATAGCACAAAGTCCAGTAAGTTGATATGCATTTTTAATTTTATCAAAAAGTATTTAATTGCAATGAACAGTAAAACTTGAAAAAAATTGCCATCTGGTCATCCGAGAATAGTTGATTTTCCCGATGGGCAAGCAACTTTTTATTCCCACTTGCTGATGGGTGAGGGTCCGGGCAAGTCCCAACTAAATAAAAAATGTAACCTACGACTGGGGGCAAATGTAACCTACTGCCCATTCTTTTTAGCCCTTATGGTTATTTTGGGAAGGCAATACTCTATACTAATTTAATGTTTATTGTAATTATTTTATAAATTGTGAGTACAAATAAATGGTTGTTGTTGGTTGTTGTCACGACTTGCATAGGGCAAGCAGCATTTGAGAGCGACTTGTCGAAAGCCAAGCTGGACTTCAAGTCTTTTCCAAGCCGTGGAACAGAGAAAAAAAAACAGCTTGAACATAATTGTAAAAGCTCTGTTGACTAGGAGTATTGCTTATTATCTCCCTGGATGGGACACTAGTCTAGCCTTCATTGAGATTGCTTAATTGAACAGAAATTGGCAAATTATACCAGTCCTATTTATACTTCTGGGTACCGGGAGAGACTCTGATAGTAAAGCATCACACCAAAGAACACTACACAATGACCCTGGCCAGCATTCACATAAGCAGTGGTGGATCCAGACCTTGAGTTAAGGGGGGAGGAGGGTTTGCTTGCCCTGCCGTCTTTTCTTCCTTCCACGATTTTCTTTTTTCACCCAAAATAAGAGGGGGCCAGAACCCCTGTGCCCCTCCCCTAGATCCGCCACTGATTAGGATTGCTAGACTCTGGATCTTGTGTTCCATGCCCTAGCTATTAGGCCATTGTACCATCCATATGTAGATGTACCATCCATATGTAAAAAAAACTAGTCTGTCTGCATGTTGATATTTACCATTATCATTCGATACAGATTTTTCTTTCTTTTCATTGGCCATGAACCCACCATGTAACCTGCAAATAACTGTCTACAAATAATGGTCTTCTCATACGTAATACTGTTTAAATATGTTTCGCTACAAATAATATTCTGCTCGAGTGTAATTGTAACCATGCTTGTGTAAAAAATGGTAGCTGTCAGAGAGTGATTCAGATAATTATGATACCAGACTTGGTGACTGAGGTCATCATGACACTGACATATCATGACATTTTGCTCAACTTCAAACAGTAACTTTTATTGTTAATTACTATTTGCTTAATGAGTGTGATTTTGTTTATTAATTAGTTCCTAACAAAGAAAACAAAAGATCCATTTAAAGAAGATGAGGATCAGTAGCCTTGATGGAAGCCACAGTAAAAAACATGGCAACTCTATTCACAAGTCAAGTTGAATACAGAAGACACAATAACAGGATGCATCTTATCACTAAGCTACAATCCACTATGCCAAGAACAGACTGAAGCCTTGATAACCTCAGGAGCTGCGATTTGAATATTGTGGCCTGTTTTCGTGCTCTTATCTAAGTGGTCCTGCAAATCCATGATTGACCTTGAGAAGTGACATCTCAAAAATGACAGAAATGTCTTTTAATTTAAGTGATTATATAATTTGATTGGAACTCTCTCACAGATTTCATAAACTTAAGTCTCTGAGCAGGACGCTTGTGAACACAAACAGATTTCTGGCTTTTGTTTCACTGCAGATTGAAAGAAAAGCCAGAAATCTGATAGTGTTCACAGACTAATGAGCAGGGAGGGCAAATGTTTACTTCATCAGAGTAAAAGATAGTAACTCATATATTTTGTTACAGAAAAAAGTTCTGTGATATGTTGAAAAAAAATAATAATACAGTCAAAGTTGTGTTCACAGGTGGTCTTTTTGTCTGGTTTCCAACTCTTAATGAAACCCCTGCACTCTAATCTACAACTGAAGACTGAAGTTTCCTTTTGTACAGTTAGCGGCTAAGATATCAACTTTTTTAAAATTTTAGTTTCATTGAAGCCTAGCCTTATTCGATTTCATCATAATTTTTCTATTTTTACCAGTAGGTGCATATTCAGACCGTTATTTTACATATCCAGGAGTAACTCTCACTTCAGATTAAAATCTACATGTAAAATAACAGATATTTTGTAACATGCATGCATTACATGCAGGTGTAACAAATTTTCGGCCAACAAATAAATAATGAATTTTATTTAATGTCATTGTTTCCAAAACAAGGTTTTGTTCAGTACATAATTTTCAAGCCAGTTTCCTATATTATTGTATTTGATAATATGAAATGAAGAAAAACTATTTCACAGTAGATTCAAAGTTGTGTGGCTGCAACCCGAATCATAAATCTCCTAAGTGCAAGCTTGAACTTGTTTTTCACTTGGTCAGGCTAACAAGGAGAATTACCAGAAAGAATTAATGTGCCTCTCAACTTGGAACAAAACTGGTGCAATATATAATTAAAAAGGTGTCAATCATAGTGAATAGTTTGTTTCTTTATGAAATGATACACATTTTTTCAGATACAGTTGGACCTCTCTAATTCAAACTCAGTTATTTTGAATTCTCCATTATTTCGAACTCAGAACCATTTCCTCAGGATTTACCCTTCAGTCATTTATTATGGGCTATTTCAAACTCTCGCTATTTTTGAAAAATTTTCATTTCCCATGAGAGTTAGAGGGTTCAACTATATTGTTTCTTCGGAGACTATAATTTCAAGGATTTAAATGTCATCAAAAAGCTTGCTTTTCACTTTTGGTACTCAAAAGAATTGACTTCTTCCAGATTCTTCTTTCCAACTGTTAAAAATTAATACCCTAGGGTTTTTTAAAAACTATTATAATTTTTTTTCTCAAAATCACTTTTCCAGACCCAATATTATAATTATCAGTTCCTGTCAAGATTATTCCAGGAAAAAAAAAACGATTCAGTGATTTTTTGAAAGACTTCTCCAAAAGTGTGGTTTGGAATTTGATCATTTTAAAACAGAATGTGGGTATTTCCCGTCCCGATTGTCCTGTAGTCCATTACAAGTTTATAGTTCTGAAGAAGACTCAATTACGAAGTCTCGTTACTATGGTAACGGCGCATCGGATTCTAGAAGGGAACATCGTGGAACGTTAGCACAGCTGGGTTTATGTGAAGTATTTCCTCCTCGTTGTTGGGTAGCAGAGCACCTCATCCTTTCGACACCGCAAAGAAGTATTTTTTCGGCGACTATGGCTATGGACGGGGCATATAGACTTGAGCTGGAGCCGCAGAAGAAGAACGTCTTTGTAACCCAGTTGAGGTTAGCTCCGTGTTTCACTTTTCAGCTTTGGGTGTTGTGCATTATTTAGTGGAAGCGAGATTACCCCTGATCTTCTAAACTTTTGATGTTGCGGTTTTTATTCTTTCTGCAGAGACGACGATGAAGATGACAGCAACGTCCGCAAATTTCCCATCGTGGAAGAGGTACTCATAACCATTTCATTCCGATTGGAAACAAAATATGGTTGTCAACAGTTTGTTCCGCGCGCAGTTTTAATTGAGCGCTGGCGGTCAGATCTATCGTTCTCTGTAAACAGTCTTTTTTGAAACCTCCGATATGTGGGAATCCGGAAGATTTTTGTGCTTGAGATAATCTTGATCAGGACTCGACTGGAAGTGCAGTTACTTGTCGAATGCAATCGATGAGTTCAAGACAATCGAATCAACGTCGGTGTTTTTTAATAGGGTTCTCTGTCAAATTGTTATTTACATTGTTCATTGTTGTTTTAACTTAACTCGTTAGTTACTTTTCTTTACGCGCTCGCCAGGTTTTCATATTTTGAATCAGGAAATCTGGAAGTCCAAAAATGTCAACTCTTCAAACGGGTTCGCGTGACAGTCCTATTGATAAAATCACAAACACAGTTTGGCGCGTGTTTTGCGATCTTTTTATTCTTTTATCACCTTTTCCATAAATCTCTCAACAGAATTTTTACCTTTTGCCCATATGCCCTAACGCCCAAACTTTTTTCCTTTCCTTACATTTTTATAATCAAGTTACTGTTGTTGTTGATGATTTTTTTTTTTAACAAGAGGGCCCACTTTGACATTAAACGGCCAAAAATAACTGAAGAGGCAGCTACCTTGTAAAAATATTTTAAATTATTTATTATTGTATATTGTTTACCCTTTCCCTTAAAAAAATTCCAAAGGAGGTTGGGAATATGTCCACATGCCAAACCTAAAATTGAGTTTTCACACTGATCAATAATATTTTGCCTTACAGTATCAAAATTCTTAGTAACGTTCATGATATTTTTCCTTGACATAATATGTAGTCAGCAAGCAAACTACTTGACACCGGTCTCAACACAGTGCAGTCCACTCTACTCCTCAAGAAACAGGTTGAAGTGGAAAAGGTACAAGAAGACTTGGATATCAAAAGGCGTCAGTTTGCAGAACGCATGGCAGCTTGCAAGGCTAAGGAGGAGGAGCTTAAAAAGAAACAAACTCAGGTAAAATACTAGATCATGGGGCACAACAGATCAGAATATTGTATCCCACCTCTGAATCATGGCGGGATACTGCAAACATAAATAAAATTTTCCACTGAATTATCCAATACATCTCTCTTGGGGTGTTGAGGCAGTTATGCATCAGGAGTCAGATATTTCATGTGAAGTGAAGTCGTGGGCAATCTTACTCTTCTAGAAAAATAATATTTTACCCGTAAGGTACAGGTATATACATGTAAGTTATTTTGGGGCTAACAGAGTGGAGTAACATTCCATGCATCCAGTGCCTGTATTATCCCACAGGAATCAAAGACCATTATTGCAGCTACACTAATGACTCACTCCAGTTTGAGGCTTACTTAAAAGAGAAACTCTAAAACCTAGTGGTGCAATAAGAGAGGTCCTGAGAACAAGATTGATACTTTTTTTTTCCCTCCTGATTCCAGTACGTTAAGGGCATTTGCCATCTCAACCCATTGACTCCTGGAGCTTTTTGCCAGAAATGCATTTTTTGGACATTTTGGAGATTTTCAGGCTGGATATGGGCCAAATTAACTCCAATCTACTCAAAAAGGCATTTGCAACATAACAGCATTCCTTTCTTTCCACTAGCATTGCATTTTACGACATTTTTGATCGGGTGTGCGAAGAAATCAAACATCAATCTTTAGGCTTTTCGATTTTTTTTTTTTTTCACCTTTCCTTTTTCTCCTTTTCTTTTCTTTTTGCTGCAGTGATTGACCTTCTACTGGGCTTAATTTGCTTTCCAGTTTAAAACATTCTGAGAAAGCATCATTGTGACAGGCAATTTTTTGCCATGGAGTAGCCATGTGTAGTGCATGGCAGGAAATTTTGCTCTGAGTTTTTCACTCAACTTTTTGAGCATTTTTGTACATATCTCAGGCTCCATTGGGCACTCTGATCTGGGTATCATTGGAAAGATCTTTTCCTCCTGCAGAAGTTAAGCATAGATGATGCCAATTTTGGTCAAATGTGATGACGTCAGAAGTGGAAGAAAGGCCTGAAGGCTCGTGATGGCCAGTTTAACGGCTGTCACAGGAGTCAATGGGTTAATAATCAAGGGTTTTGGTCTCCCTTAGGGTGTTCAGGACGAAATGTCATTATTTTTAGTCGTCTAAATATCTTTCAGGGTTGTACATGCAGATATAATAATAATTAAAACAAACACTGTTAATATGTCTGTTTTTAAGGCTATCTTTGAGGGGTCAAATATAGCTCGAGCCACACCCAGATTAAAGTGTTCTTCAGATATTTGATTCAAATTTTCCAGTGAGCATCCCTGACCTTTTCACAAAGTAGTTCGGCCTCCTCCCAGACTTTGGTCTTTTCTCCTTCAGCCATCAAAAACTCATTCCTTTTAATATTTTCTATGTTATCTTGTCTCCAGGTTTCATACTACATGTACATCCTGCTGCTGTTTATTTATATTTGCCATTGAACTGTTTCAATCCATAGATTCGTGAACGAGTTGGCAAGTTTGAGAAGTTTATAGAAGAGAATGATGCTAAAAGGAGGAGAGCAATTCAGAAGTACCAGACAGAATTGAAGCTTAAAACCCAGAAAAACAGAGAACTTGACATTTTATCCACAGAATTAGAGCAGCTTAAAGCAAGGTGTGTACTTCCAGAGTAGATAACAGCAACACTGTAATATGTTTTGAGAACTTTTTCCATACATGTAGGTTTTAGCATGAATGGGTGTGCAGAATAAGGCTCTAAGTGATCCTAGGTGACTGTTGATGCATTGTCAAACTCTCCTTGGGTCTTGGGCATTCTGGAAGGAGAATCTAGAAAATTTATCAGAAGTCACCTTGGGCTTTTTCCAGGCACCCCTTCATTTGTAAACTGCTGGCGCTTAGTTGAACAAACTACTCTATGTATGCATTGCAGACCCAGTGACTCATCTTCTGGTCTTAATACATGTACAGTCTGTAATTTATTTGCAGTCCCTGTTCCATCCAGTAACAAACTGATTGATAGTTTCTTGAGTTAACATAACATATTCAATTTAATTTCTTGGATTGTGCAGAAGTGTCAGATATTGATAACAGGGTATTTTGGTTAAAACTCCAAGTATTATCAGACAAGTTTAATTGTAATAATAATAATAATAATAATAATAATAAAAATAATAATAACTGTTTATTCACAAATCCATCGTAAAGTGAAAAGGAGATAAAAGAGGTTATCCCTTTCTAGTTTATCTCCTGATAATAAACTAAATTAAGACAATTATTTACAAC